TGTACTTTTTGTGCTGTTTATTAACATTTTCCTGTGATTCTGTTTATTCTCCTATGTTAAATCGATGGCTTGAGCTTTTCGCAGAAAAAAAAAATTATATTTGACGTGCTATGTGCGAATTTTTGTTAATAAAATGAAATTTTATGTGTAAATTTCCTGTTTTTTATGAAATGAGAAAATTTTGTTTATGCAGTTTATGTTTATTTTAGTGGATACACGTCAACCTATAAGTGTGCTGATGTACCTTAGTAGTGTAGTTCCTATTTAGAAGTGTTATTAAATCACATTTTGATCATGAAATTCTTGTCAAAAGTGTTATTTTAGGTCAATGTTAAGCGTAAATTCCTCATATTTATGACATAACCTCAAAAAATCTTAACTATTTTGATTTAAGTATTTTGAAAAATTCTTCTTGAAAAAAGTAATTCGCATTAAGCTATAAACCTTCCACGTCATTAATTCACAATGTCATACGATGAACTTTCGTTTACTTCCAAATTGATTTTTCCCACCGTTTGACTCAATTATTTTCTTCATCTATAGAGACACACACACACACACATAACCTAGAAACAGCAAGAACAACCTTGAAATTATTTTTCTACATTTTCCACATTTAATGAAAATTTCTCTCCATATTAATGTCGTTAGTTTTATTATTCTCATATCCATCTCCATTTAACGACATGCCAGAGCAGAGATGTAGGTAGGAAACCAAAATGGAACTAAAATCTCGAGTTGCAAGGCTGTCAGAGGTAGAAGAATGACTCCTTGACTCGAGCCCGGGTGCTAGTTTTCAACTTGTGCTACAGAATCCCAACAATAATCCAGAAATTGTCATCCCGATCTAAGCTTTATACAGAGTCCAAGACTAAACACCTGACTACACCCCATGAGCATGTCATTCTATGTCCCACATTAATATGCATAGAATGAATGAGAATGTCTCGAATTGATCGCTTGAATGAATTATCTTTCATTTTCCATTTTCATTTCCTTGTTGCTGATGCTGAATGAGAAGCAATAAAAATTCCTCATCTCGAAATGTGATTTTGATGTAGGGAAATGTGCCACTTGTCAGAATCGATAAATATTTTTTTTGTGTGCTGTCTTATTTTCATTTCACTCTCTTTGTAGGCTGATTGGTTGTAAAATTGGAATTATTGAGTAAGGAAATTTCACCATTTTTATGGTAAATTTAATTGCATGGAAGGAAATGGAATTGAAATCGATCAAGTTTAGTGTCTTTTTTCTATTAATGGGTATGCGGGACTGTATTAGGGTCAGACCTAATCGATACCTTTGAATGCCTCAGAACCCCCAAACAGTCAAGAATTGATCTAAAATTCTCACATCCACCACGAAGTTCAATACTCATCAGCCTCATTGAGTCATCAACAAGTGAGATTCAGCAATATATAAGCTTGTTAGCCACTTCAAGATGACATTTTCATGACGTGACATTTTTTTTCATCATTTCAGACATGAAACTTAACAACCAGAATGAGATGAAAATTTAATGAATTTTCATTCCTTCGCAACACGCAGTCAACATATATTTCCACTAAGCTCCATCGACTGCCATGATTGAATCAATTTTGTGCCTCAGTTTGCGATTTTGATGGCCACTCATTCTGTTTACAAATTCCATTCATGACTAAGAATTTCTTTTTTATTGCCATTTGGACGTCGGTTCATTTGTGTTTTAAGTTCAAGGCTGAGAAAGAAGGCAACTTTTGTTGTCATTGCGAAAATGTCAACTGTGAAATAAGACGACACGACATTTTGAGCATTTAATGCGATGATCTTGTTAATGTTGGAAGACATTTTTGGGTGAGGATTAAAATTTTAAATAAAGCTGCGTTGTGTTGCCTCTATGGATGTGTAATCCTTATTATTCGAGGTTGTTTAGATGTTGCTCAAAAGTGAACTTAAAAATTTCTCAGGAAATTTCATTAGTTGCTTTAATGACTGCGGCAATTGCTATTATTCTCAAGTGCAAAAAATAAATATTGACTTAGTCACATCCAATTAATCTCATTCGGTCTCTATTTGTGTATATAAGCAGCACAGCGAGCACAAAAATGCGAAAAGTAAAAATATTGCTAAAAAGAAGCGAAAACAAGAAGAACAGGATTTAAGTTCCCTTTTTGGAGAAAAGATAAAGATTTGTAAATGTCAAAGTGCATGATAAGGAATTGAAACGTTAGAGACGTGCTGACAGCAAGATGCTTTTGTTATACTACCGATTACATTAAATAAATTAGTATTGATTTGGTATTTATGAGTTTTAGGTACTTTCAAGGTAGTTTAAGGGTTGACAGGGGTGTGGAACTGACAATTCACGTTTTAATAATTTTCCGATTAATGTAAATCTTGATCAGATCCTTGGATGTTCCCAGCTCACATTTATGTATTCTAACATGTGTAGCTAACCTTATTATTGCATTAATTCCCATCAGATTTGCAATACATCCACTAAATTGTCTTACTCAGCTTTCTACAATCCCAACTAATTCGACTTCTGTTTACACTTTGCGTATGCTAGCCCAACATATTTTCCTCATTATCTTTTGTCGCTTTTGCAAATTTCTCTTCCATCCCATGTGACCTTCAACATTATTTTCCTAATTTTGCTCTTCTTTCTCAGCTTTTCTCGCTTGCCTGTGCAATCTGATACAAACACATAGCATCGGGTGTTAACATATTGCTCAATCAATCTTCCTCGTTCCTTCCTTCTATCCCCTGAAAGAAATACTTAGACTAGTGCTGGATTTTCTCAAAAATTTGGCTGTATGTGTGATAATTTATCTACATATAGGCACACATATGTTTTTATCTTTTGCCTGTATACATGTATCTCGTGTCTTGTCACTTTCTTCTTATTTTCCTTGTTTATTTATCGCTTCTCTTACAGCAACTGCTGTTTCATTCAGTTGATTTCTTATTTAATCGAAATTTCAACTTTTAGACTTTTTGTCTGACTGTCTTGAGATTTTTGTGTCGCAAAAGGGTGTGAAACTAAGCAAAAATTGCAAAACAATGCGCCTTAAATTCCAAAATTTCTTACTCATTTCTTTCAGGAAGGTAAAAAAATATCCAATATTTGTTATGGCATCAATTTAGCAACACAAAATGTTGATGTTGATGCTGTTGTGGATGGTTTTTAGCTTAATTGTTGTGTGATTATGTCAAAGTTATTTACACATGCTTTAAGGCTTTATTTGGTAAACTAAAATTGTGAAAATGTCAGCTATAGAGTATGCATAGATCTTATTGTAGAATATTGTATTTTTTGTTGAAAATATGGGATGACACATGAGTTGAGCGACACTTGAGATGATTGGGCAGGTTGAATATAGCTCTAAGGATTTTGGATAGTAATAATAATTTTGTGAAGTGCTTTTGCATCGTGAATCAAGCTTTGTGACTTGATCACTTGCCTGAGACAGGACATGATCTAGTTTCTGGTATTACAAGAGACAACCAACCCTACAACCGTTTGTGACTAGCTGACGTTATGCCATAAAACTTTTTAACTAGTTTCAGGCACAAGAAAAATCAGCAACAAGTTGGTACATGACATGCAATCTAGCCGAGAACAAACCTTCTATTTCAACTCATGGCGTTGCTGTCAATTCACAAAATTAACAAATACCATTCCTGTATCAACCCAAATATACACAAACTGATTAAATTAATCACAAAAGCATCTAAATTATCAATTTGCATGCTCACTTCTAAAATCATATTTTTTTTAAATGTATACAAAATCTTACTGTCATAAATCTATTAACTTCCTCATGTGCACTTCCTCCTTGTTCTGTATATCACTGTTGTTTATATTCAGTATATTTACGACCTTGATATTGATTGCATTTAGTTCACTTCACTTTGCTTTTCTCGTTCATATTTTTTTTGTATCAAATTTTCTCATTGCTGAATATCAAAAATGATGTTGTTGTTACTTTATCTCGTTGTTGTTTTTATTAAATTATTCTACAAACTCTCTCTATGTGTATATATCTCTTACTATCTTGTTCTTTTTTGCTGTACAAAAATAATCTAAAATGACTCTTTTTTGTGAGCTGGAAAATAATAATAATATTTTGTAAATGCTACTGCTGCTGATTACGCTGTCTGTTGTATGTCAAGGGATTGGAATTGCTGGGTATTATGGATCCCATGTTGGGAACTGCAACCTATTTATGAGGGTCATTTAGATTAAAAACTCATAAAATTGTGAAATTTTCTTAAAGTTTGATGTTTCCTTCCCTTGACCACAGAACAAGTAATCTTGCTCTTTGATGTGACTATCTAATTTGATGACATGATTCTCTCAATTTATCTATCATTCTTTTTATATTCCACTTATCTATTTAGATAAATTATATCTCTATCTCTCTCTATTTGCTTTCTTTTGTCTTTCAATTTTCTGAAAAAATTATTATTATTATTTTTGTATCGTTAAAGTTGAATTTTCTGTGACTTTACGCTGTATTTTCATATTTTTTGTTATTTTTCTAAAGGTTTAGACAATATGTGAGAGATTTTGTTTGGTATTTTAAACATAACCTTAAAATCCTGAACAATAATTTAAAAACTCATAGCCTCAAAATTTTGAAAAACTCCTAAATCTAACCTCAAAATCTTTAAAAATTCAAAAATTAACCAAAAAATCTATAAAAAAAATCAAAAATTTAACCTCAAATATTTTAAAATTCCTAAACTTAACCTCAAACTTTTCTTTATAATTCCAAACACAATCTCCACTGTCTAAGCCTTAAACTTAAAAAGAACTTATGTTTACCATTTTCACATACTTTATTTCCTTTCAAACAATAACAAAGAAGCTCAAAATAATAATTTGTCTGTCTCAATTTTTCACATAAAATTTAATTAAAATTTTCCATCTCATTTTTTTTCTTCTTTTTTCCCCTTTTTTTCATCGTCATCGATTACTTTTTATTGCGTCTTTTGTAAATATCCCCCATAATGCAATGAAAAATAAATTAAGGTCGGCTAGCTCTCAGATCAAGTCACCTGCTGGCTCCAGTTCTGGTGGAGACGATTCACGTGCGGTGGCGGCATTAAATAAGGACAAGGATAATGCAACTGTAAGTTGATGATTTAATTAAATACTTTTTTTTCTGCTACATGTTTTTGATATCAGTTTTCTGTGCTTTTTTAACTGGAAGGACTTTTGTTTGACGTCATGGAAATTTTGGGTGGGATAATCATGCAGGGTTGGGTACTAAGGTGATTCATGGAGGGTTGGGTGATAATCATGTGATTCATTGACACAACATAACCTTAAATGAAGCATCATAACCTCAAAATTGCAGAAAAACCTCAAAATCAAGCAAACATAACCTCAAAAAATAACTTAGACTTATCCATTTTTAACTCACAAATTCCCATCCCTGTTTGAACAAGAGATGATTTATAGTTGAATATGAAGCTTCCAACATTTTATAACAATAAAAACGAGGAAAGGAATGAAGAATTTTTAATAAAGAAAGAAGGAAAACCGAGTTGGCAGCGAACAAAAAAGTTCATTTTAATTTCAATTCATTAAATTCTACAAAATATGATCTCATCGTAATTTTAATTGAAAGACGAGAAGCTTAAGGGTAAAAAACTTCTAAAATTCTTCTCGGAAAAGCTCATTAAAAAATATTTTGCAAAAATCTTTGGTTACAAATTACGTTTTTTTTTGGGTTTATGCAACCCTATTTCCTCGAAGGTAGTCAAATAAAATTATAGGTGACAGGAGTTGGAACTGATTACTCAAGAGAATATCAAAAGTTATTGGGGAATTAATGTTAAAAATTAATTGAATTTTTCTGACATTTATTGAATTGATAAACATTTTAATTAATTACAGAACCGAAGCGTATCGATGGTTGATATGTACATTGATAATTCAGAGCCAAGTGAGAATGTTGGACAGATACATTTCTCACTTGAGTATGATTTCCAGAACACAACATTGATTCTCAAAGTTATTCAAGTAAGTATCAACATAACCTCAAAATTACTTGATTTAACCTTAAACAAATTCGACTTAACCTCGAAAAAACTCGACCAAACCTCAAAATTACTCGATCTAACCTCAAAAACACTCGACCTAACCTTAAAAATATTTTTAATTTACTTTTCCAGGGCAAAGAACTCCCAGCAAAAGATTTAAGCGGCACATCAGATCCATATGTTCGAGTGACTCTCCTACCAGACAAGAAGCATCGCTTAGAGACGAAAATCAAGCGCCGAACATTGAATCCACGCTGGAACGAGACATTCTATTTTGAGGGTTTCCCAATACAAAAGCTACAATCTAGGATACTGCACCTTCATGTATTCGATTATGATCGATTCTCGAGAGATGATTCGATCGGTGAGGTGTTTTTGCCATTGTGTCAGGTTGACTTTACCGGGAAACCTTCATTTTGGAAAGCTCTCAAGCCACCGTTGAAAGATAAATTGAGTTGTGTTCCAATTATGCATGCATGGCTTCCTCTCCTGGGTTTTGCACAAATAAGTTTTAGTTTTTTTTCTTTTGTAGTTGGGTTTTAAAAGTTCAGATAAGAATTGAACAATTTTTTATGGACTTTTAAAATTTTTGGAGAATTTTTCTTATCCTTTTTAATTTCATTTTAGTTACCTTTTTGAGTGTCCGATATTCGAGGAGAGACAGTAATGTCTACCCTCAAAACTACTGCATGGAAATTTTTATAAATTCTTGCACAATTTATAATAAAATTTCTCACAAAACACCACACAGTAATTCCCAAAAACAACCCTTTCCTCCCCAAACCCGCAAAATGAAAAAAAAAATCAGAAACCCTTTTTATGGTTAATTTAACATAATTGATCCCAAATGTAACCAATAAATCGGTTTCACCTATATGACTCAATAAAATTTCATGCAATATTAATCATTTTCTTCTTATCAATTCCACCCTTAAACAGTGCGGAGAGCTTCTATGTTCATTATGTTATCATCCATCAAATTCAATTCTTACACTTACACTCGTAAAAGCTCGAAATTTGAAGGCAAAAGATATCAATGGAAAATCAGGTGACTTCAAAAGTTTAACCAATCACTGACTTTGTTTAATCTCGTCTATTTAAATCTAATTTATAGATCCATACACAAAAGTCTGGCTTCAATTTGGTGATAAGCGTATCGAGAAACGCAAAACGCCAATATTTAAATGTAATCTCAATCCACACTTTAACGAATCGTTTAGCTTCAATGTGCCATGGGAAAAAATTCGTGAGTGTTCACTCGATGTCATGGTTATGGACTTTGATAATATAGGACGTAATGAATTGATTGGACGAATACTTTTAGCGGGTAAGTGTGGTTAGTAGTTGATCAGATTTCAGTGGGTAGCAACCCTATTAAGACTATAGTACCAACTAAGTAGCGTCGCTAGTTTGAATTTTATAAAATTCTGACTTTAGGAGGATAACCAACCTAGTTCGGATTATAGTTTTAGTTTGATCAAAAATTCTCATCATTTTTTTTTAAATTTCATTCCCAGGTAAAAATGGATCTGGAGCGTCAGAGACAAAGCACTGGCAAGACATGATCTCAAAACCACGACAAACAATTGTGCAGTGGCACCGGTTGAAGCCCGAATAAGCAAAACTCATCGACTTCATCAAAAAGTTATTCATCATCAAGTGCATCAGCGTCATTACGGTTATTCATATTGATCATACTATTATTAATAAAGAAATGAAGAAAAATTTATCAATTTTTGGAGATGAAATAATCATTAAAATTTTTATCTAAGAATCATACAAAAAAAGTTACTTCTATGCTAAGCGTGGAAGTTTAGAAATTAATAAGAGAAAAAAAAAAACAGTTTATCGCGCTCTATACAAAAGAAAAGAAAATTAAAAATGCATAGAACGATGTTTCTTGATCGAAATCAAGTCAGGAAGCTACGTTCACTTGCGACATTATATATTATATACATAAACACATATATGAATCACATATTATTATTACTATTACTTTATTAAATTATATGAGAAAGATAATAAAAGTTCTATATTTTTGCATAATTAAATGTCAATGCATTCATTGATTATTTACAAGAAAAAAAAATTGATAGAAAAAAATATATTGAAAAAAAAATTAAAAAAAATTAAATTTGATGTTGAAATTGAGATTTTTGAAATAAGAATCTAAATCTACAATATCTTAAAGGGTTGAATTTGGCGTCAAAATGAGGAACCTAGTATTACAATCTAGTACTGCAACCGAGTGTCAGAGTCTATTTTTGTGACTAAATCTCAAAAATCTAGTGCTTCAAACCAGTAACGGAATGCAGTACTAGAATCTACAGAAGTAATCTAGTACTACAATCTGGGACACCATCTTTGTAATAAAATCTAGTACCACAACCTACAACAACAATATTGTATCAGAATCTGGTACTTCATCCTTGTTTCAGAATCTGGTACTGCAAACAACTTTTGTATAAAACTCAATATTACAATTTATTGAAGTAAGTACTAGATGGCTTTAAAATCACAATAATTTGCTTTAATCTTGAAAAGTTTTTTTAAATAAACAAAATAAAATCTGTCAATCGATCTTAAATTCAGAAAAAACATCCACAAATCAGATTCGACCGCTCAAAAATCTCATTTTCATCCACAAATGAAACATCAAACCCTTATCAATAAGGAGAATAAGAATGCTTATTTTTTATGATTTCGCTATGATAAGAGAAGAAGCAAAAGTTTGCTAAACTTTCCAATCGAGTAATCAATTTCACATCAATTCAAAAAGAAAAATCTTGAAAAATAAAAGCCATTGCCAAAAGCAAAGAATGCTCATACTTTTGTTACTACTTATAAAACAACAACAACACCAAGCAGCATAATCAACTAAATATGGCATCGTGTAAAGATTTGTTTTGACATTTTTGCGTGGCTTTATCGTAATTAGATTTTCGTTATGCCAATAAATGAGTTTATGGACGAGAGCTGAAAGTGAACGGTAATGGCAAATTTTTGCGATGAAGAAAATTCAATCAGAACTCATTCGACTGGAAATGTTAGGAGAAGCGAGGTTGACTTGATGATTTACTTTTTTTTTGTGTATTTCATATAGTTGCGAATTTAGGGATCGAGGTGAGGATGCTGGAGGGGTTTTTGGCCATTTATCACTCGAATCATCAGATTTTGAGATTGTGTGCATTAATTTAAATTTTTTTAGACTACTTTCTGGTTTTCTAAAATCTTGATCTAGGTTTGAGAACCCATTATCCCATAATAGGCCAGCAGACTACTTAAATGGTTAAATGATTTAACAGTTGTTTATTTGACTAGCATGATTGACAATTGTTTGGTGTGATCAATTAAATTGTTAACTGCAGACCCAGAACTCACTTTTATCAGGTTCTTCAACACTAAAAATCCAACTTAACACAAAACTTCACCAATGTCCCCACCTCGATCATCACTGCATTACATGTGGATATCCAGCGAATGAAAGACATGACTACTTAAACCTAATATTAATTCAATAAAATGTCAAATAAAGAGAATGAAAAAAAATATTAATGAAATGTATAAATTATTATAACTCGGCTGTGGCAAAACAAAAAAAAAATTGTTCATAAATGATCATTGATATAGAAACAAAAGTAATAAGAAATGAAAAAAAAATTGAAGTAAAAGAAGAATTCTGATGGGTAAAAGAGTAAAGTCAGAGAGGATAACAAGGATATGGAGAGAAGTGAAGGTCTTATTAATGTCAAAATTAAGTAGTCTAGGAAGTTTTTTTTTGTAATGTTGTTGCTATTTTTTTTTGGAAGGATTATCATTGTCATGTCAGGTCTTGATGTTTTTGATTTCATAAGTTATAAGCAACAAGTTTAAGGTATCTGCATTTAAATTATGAGATTTCAAGCTTCAAATCTAAAAACACAGCCATCCGAAGTCAACATCCAGGCTCCTTTGACTGTGTCGTCAAAAAAACCTCTCAATTTTTTATTATTAAAATTTCAAAAGTGACAAACAATTTCCTGTGTCAACTTCATCCAAACATCCTCAAAGCATTTCAATATTTCACTGTTAAACTTCTGTTTGAAAACTTTTTCTATAAAGCACTGCAGCTTTTTTTTCTGTGTTTACTCAAAATCCACATCCATGCCTTTGTAATTAATTTAACCTTCTATCAAATTTTTTCATCCAATTTCACTGTGCATACACGCTGAGAGGCAAAAAAGGGAGGAAAGGAAAATAACTGCATAGTTGAGTAGAACGGAAGGATGAATATGACATTATTTTCTAAATGATGGTGTGATAAGCGACTGTTAGGGACGTTTGGATAGTGACTTACATGATGACATACTCATAGAGTAAGGACAGACAAACTGACTCCAACTTTTTGGGAAAATCGTGCTTTAAATTGCATCAAAAGAAGCAGCAGCATCGAATTAATTACAGACGAATAAAAATAGCAGTTTGAAAGATTTTTTTTTATTAAATTACATTTAGCTCTCGTGTCTCTCTACTTCCATATCTCCTCTGTCTTTACAATCAAATTACATTACGATCTCACTCACTCTCTGTATCTCTATCTCGAGACATAAAATAATATTACATTTCTATCCATTACATTCCTCAGATTACATATTTAATGGCGCAATATATTGAGCTTCTCATCTGGCTTACATACATACATACACACACACACACACATAGATATATTAAGTTAAGATCAAGTGTAATTGAGGTTAATTGAGATTTAATTGAATGTCGGCTTATTAAAAAAAAATGAGAATATGATGAAGATGAGCTTCCTTCCTAGACTTTTTATGTTTTAAAAAGGATTTTCATTTATTTTCACACTTAAACTTTACTGAAGCTCGCTTCTTTCATCCTCATCCTATTGACTTTATCATCATGAGATTGATTCTTCCAACTAAAATTTTGTAGTGATGAGGGAGTATTTGGTATGGAATTTTGAGGTTATGCTAAGATTGTGCTAATATCTAAACATACTAAAATATCCCGAAATATCCTGAAATATTCCGAAACATCCCGAAACATCCCGAAGTATCCCAAAATATCCCGAATCATCCCGATTTGTCTAAAAACGTACATAACCTCAAAATTGCCTTGCAGAACTCCTCAATCTCATCAAAAACTAAACTAATAATCATAATAATTTCACCAAATAAGACTTCAAGCTATAAATTCATTAAGCAAAATCCATTAAAAATTTGTAGCTCTCGCTCTATCTATATCTACAATCATCGCGAAGCATAATCCCCATTTCACTTCATAATGCGAGAATATGACAGACGATGTAACAAGTTTTAATATCAGCAGAACCCACCATAATCAAATTATTCCACATCAAATTGACATATAATATGTAATAAGGGATGCAAGCAGGCAACTAAGTATAATAAAATTTATTATTTCAATATCATACGAGAATGAATATCAGCTTCAAGTGAGAATGGGAATGAGAGGTTTATCATAATAATCATAATGATGGTAATGAGTTTAGTTTGTAATAATGAAGGGAAAAAAAGTCAATCAGAAATTGTAGATAAAAATATCGAATGAGCCACAGGGGCTTGAATTGGGTTAAATTTCTACCTTAAATAGAATTTATGGTTAAAGATGCCCAAAACTTAAAAGAAATTTGTATGGAATCAGTTCGAGAAAAATCTAGAAAATGTTAAATTAACAGAAAAAAAAAAATATTTCAAAAGATAGAAATTTTGATTGAGTAACGAAAAAAAATCTGTTCAATTTAGTTTAGTTTAGTTTTGACATAAAAAACGTTTATAAAAAAATGATGTTGTTAAAAATTGTGTAGCATAAAAGTTAAAACAAAAATGAAATCAAATACAAACGTTTATTATTTGTTTGAATCATGAAAAGCCGTTGAAAATGTGCGAGAAATTTTGAGATTTTTTGGGGGTTTTGGAAAGCCTCAAACTTTATAAAATCATCAAAAAATCTCAAAAACAACTTACTCAAAAAATAGACAAAAAACTGAAAAAGTTAAAAAAAATCTTAATATTTATAAATGTATGTAATTAAAAATAGTAATAAAGTTAATAAAAGTAAGAATAGTTCTTATATACATAAAAAACAAGTTTCTTTAATTTTGTGGACGCAAATGAATGCAAAAATGGAATTTAAATATTCCAAATAAAATTATTTTTTATAAGAAAAATAACAAAAAAAATGTTGACAAAAAAATTAAGAAGAAAAAAGTGACAAAAAGAGAATAAAAAAATTATTTTTTAGAGGTAAAAAATCTAGAAATAAAAAAAAAAGTTTATTGACTTAAAACATGAAAAAAGTCTCGCAATTTTTTGCAAGGTTTAGCTACTTATTTATAAAAAAAAATAATAAATCATCATCAACGCGCATCATTTTTTGTATAGAATAAAAATTTGACGACTTTGCTGTTGCGCGTGGAAGTTCAAAAGTAAATGTTTATTGAAAGATTTTTTGTATGGATCACAAAAAATTGACTTTTTGATTGCTCAGATAGAACTTTCATCAATTGAATATGGACGGAAAAAAATTAAGAATTTAAATCAATAATTAGGTATGAAATGATACTAGTAATGAATATTGCAAGGGATGGTAACT